TCTCTATTTTGTAATTTATTTTCTGACCTCAACATGCTGCTAGATTCCTTTTTCCTTCTCCAGTTGGTGATTAAATTGGCCTGACGCTCTTCAGTCCTTTTCAGACCCCCACAGTGATTATACAATGCAAGTATTTGTACACTGTAAGAGATGTTTTCCATTCTTAGTCTGTGTAATACATTAAATTTAAGACTTTTGAGACTTTCCAGTAGTTACTTTCACTTTTATTCCTGAACCCTGATATTCTTATAACATTTTAGTACCATACACAGCGAAGTTTCACATTTCTCCTCTATACAAAGGGGAACATAATTTCATGATATTAATAGCAACTTCTTATAAGAAATACACTCAGGTTGCAATTATTCTAAAGCCTTGTGCCCATATATGGAGTTATATAGCCATACTCATTCATCTGCTATGTTCCAGGCGCTATGCTAGGCCCTATGAATATATAAAAAAATGAAACTCTGCCGTCAGAGTACTTACAGAAAACTTATAGGGAAAAACAACATCTACATAATATTAGATATCTATATCTAACATTAAAGGAAACACTGGTGGGCCCAAAGGGCTGGGGCACTGTGCCTACTCTTTTCCACTGAGGAACCTTCTGCTCTAGACTTATCAGCTGGACCAGGTTCAATTCTGGGGAGCCTGACCACAAATGAAGGATGGGGCTAGGCTCTCTTTTCTCACACTTTTTGACTCATTATACTAACTACCATGCTGCCTCAGGACTAAATTGCTTAAGGTTTAAGTTGTAATTCATATTTAGGTCTCTCCAAAGTGTAGAGTTAAAAAAAAGTACTCAATTTAAAATATGAATCAGGTATGAGACAGAATCAAGAGTAAGGAACCTGTGGCCTCCAAGCCACATGTGGCCTTCTAGGTCCTTGGGTGCAGCCTTTTGACTGAATCCAAGTTTTACAGAACAAATCGTTTTATTAAGGGGATTTGTTCTGTGTCAAAGGGCTGTTCTTGAGGACCTAGAGTGCCACCTGTGGCCTCAAGGCTGAAGGTACCCCATCTGGGACAGATATTTACTTTCTGCTAAAAAAAATAACAAAAGATTCACAAGCACACATAGACAGAACATTTTTTTTAAGGCAATCAGGGTTATATGACTTGCCCAGGGTCACATAGCTAGTAAGTGTCAAGTGTTCTGGTCTGAGACTGGATTTGAACTCAGGTACTCCTGACTTCAGGGCCAGTGCTCTATCCACTGCACCACCTAGCTGCCCCTGACAGAGCAATTTAAAATAGGTTTCAGTAACTTAACTGACAATTGTCATTATAATCTGCTAGGATACTGATACATAAACATTTTAGTTGAAGTTCTAAACATGAAGTAATATTCAGGACTGATTTCACCTTTACTCTACCAAGTTTCAAAGTCTATGTCTTTTGCCCAGACAGGCCAGGGACTTGGATTTTTCTGGTGGTTCTTTTCTGTGATGCAAAAGTTTACTTTTCCACTAGTCAGCTCCACTCAATGAACCCAGGACCTCCAAACCTCTTGAACTCATGAAGTTGTATCCAGACCTTGATGAATCCACTTCAAGAACAATGTTCAGTCACCTATTGAGGAAAGGAATCACAAAATGGGAAACACATCTAGTGGCCAAACACGAGTTCACTTACCTGTGGGACCACATGGGGGTGGGGACAAAAAAACCACACATGTCTCTACCCTAGACCTCGGGAGAGCTCTACTTGCCCCACTGATGAATTAGAGAGAGAGAGAGAGAGAGACAGAGAGACAGAGAGAGAGACAGAGAGACAGAGAGAGAGACAGACAGACAGACAGAGAGACAGACAGAAAGACAGAGACAGAGAGAAACAGAGAGAAGTAAGGAGGGAGGGAGGGAGGGAGAGAGAGAGAGAGAGAGAGAGAGAGACAGACAGACAGAGAGACAGAGAGAGAGGAAGTTGTCTCTTTCTTGTAACTGATAGAGAACCCTTCCCCCTTGCTGCTAGCATAGTAAGACCAAGAAACCAGCCAGAATTTGCTGCATCATGCCAACATTCCTAGACCTTTTAGTCTTGAGTTACCATGTGGTTAGAAGTAGACAAAGAGTCATCTCTGACACACCCAAATGTTGATTCAAACATGTGGTCAGCTGGAAGCAGGCAAGGCAACTTAGCTCATGTTCCATAGGATCAATTACCTATAGAAAATTTGTTGTTGAGTTGTTTCAGTCATATTTGACTTTTTGTGGCTAATTTTCTTGGGTTTTCTTAGGAAAGATACTGGAGTGGTTTGTCATTTTCTTCTCCAGCACATTTACAGATGAAAAACTGAGGCACACAGGGTTACATGACTTGCCCAGGATCACACAGCTAGTAAATATCTGAGACCAGATGTGAACTCATGAACATGAGCCTTCCGGTTCCAAGCCCAGTGCTCTATCCACTGCTCCACCTAGTTGCCCGCTCTATAAAGTACACTCGTGTTAATTGAGAGAGGCAGGCACTACCAGATTGGAGAATCAGGAAGAGCTTCACACAGATGGTAATATTTTCCTTCAGCTTTGAAGAAAACTTTAAGAGGAATGGATTCAAAGATCTGGGAGTTGAAGGGTCACTCTCGCATTTTAATTATTTCTACCATATCTGATATTGCTTTACCTTCCTCATAAGGTAATCCATTTCTTTTTTTTCCCTTATTTTGTTTTTATTTATTTATTTATCCATTCACCCACTCACTCACTCACTTATTTATTTATTTATCTATTCATTCACCACTCATTTATTTATTTATCCATTTATTTTAATTAATTAATTAATTAATTTATTTGTTTGCTCATTTATTTATTTGTTTATTCATTCATTCATTCATTCATTTATTTATTTTTGAGTAGTCCATTGCTTAAAGTAATTAGTGTCTGGGGTAGGATGTTTAATGATCATATCCCATTTGGAAAGTTGGAAGTCTCTACTGCTTCAGAAAACACACAGGACATTACTCACATTGTGTTCTTCACTGAACCCAGTTTTCTAGACTTTTACAGATACGCAAAGAGGTTTGAATGGTTCTTTTAATGGTGTCCTTATCATAGCCTAATGACATTTCTGAAGCCAATAATGCACTGTGCAAATCTCTATTTATCTCACTCTACTAGTCCTTTAACAACTGAGAATCTATTTCCTCAATGTACCCTCACACTATCATTCACTAAAGTATGTTGACCTCTAAGCTCACAGTTTTACTTAGTGCTTGCAAGAAAATACTATTAATACTCAATTGCCACAAATGGAGATTTATGCATAAATAAGCAATTCTAGATGATGTTCCCTGACATACTCTTTCTCTCATGCATCCTCCTATGAAACATGGGGCTTAGGTGCACTTTGGGGGAATTTATTCACTTCTTAGTTCATAGTACCTACCCAGGAAACTTAATAAACACAGGTATGGCGCTCTCCAGGAAGACTGAGGCTGGTTCCCTACTTGGAAGCATGTAGTTTTATTAGAAAGAAGGAAACAAAAATCCTTTGTGGAGGAATCTTTAGTTCCAAAGACATATATAAATTCCCAGAGTCATTTTTAGCCCCATAGTGGAGGTCCTGCTCCACACGGTCTTTCTGAGGCCATGTCTCTTTTCCATTTAAAGAAGGTGATGAGAGAAGTGTTAGTTTTTCTTTCCCCTTCCCAACTTCAGGCTGATTATCATGGCTCCATAGCACACAGTTCACTAATTTCAAATGAGGTTTCTATGGACTGCCAAAAGATGTGTGAAGAAACAGTATAAAGAGAAGAAATCAAGGACAAAGAGTAATTTGTGAAAAATAGAACTGAATTTTAAGGGGGCCCAGTTAAGCGGTAGGCCTAGGAGGAAAGGAACTAGGTCAAGGGATTGCTGAGCAGCAAGGGTGTGTGCGTGTGTGTGTGTGTGTGTGTGTGTGTGTGTGTGTGTGTGTGTGTGTGCATGTGCAGAGGGCCCTCTGCCTGCACAGACGGCACTGCCTCTTCATTTCTAAACTCTTTTCTTTCCTGCTTCAACTCTTGCATCTTAGGATCCAGTCATCCTCCACATCAGAAGCAGAATGTACTGGATACCCCCCTGAAGTTCTCTAGTAATCAACTATATTTCTTTGCATGAGGTCCCTACTATGCCGGCATCATATCTGGGGCATATTCTGGCCTTATGGCACCTACCTACCACGTGTACACTCTTATCCACATACAAATGTGGATGTATATCTGTGTACATGTTTTATATCTCCCAATTATATCGAAAGCTCTTTGAAGGCAGAGACTATAGCTTGTCTTTGAATCTGCCTTGGAACTAGCACAGTACAGATGCTTAATATTTTGTTGAATACTGAGTGAAATGTATGCTTTTACATGTCTCCATTTTTAGATGTGGGAAAGTCATTTGACCTAGTTGAAAGTTGTTTTATTTTTAAGTTTTAAAATAAAATAACATACCTTATAGGTATGCTGTTAAACAGCAGTGGTAAACATTTCCTATTTGAATTGTTTCAATTACTTTATGCTACCAGGAATCATTTCTGGTAGATTACATTATTATTAGACTATATTATAATATATTAGACTATAATATATTACTATAGTCAGTAAATATAGTAATCTGACTTATTCAGTCTGTTTAATGTTAGACAGTTTCAAACCATTTAAGGTGCAATGTGCTCACATGTTGTAGATGGAGATGTTCACTTTCAGAATTCCCTTTTCTTTAAGTTAATCATGGTAACCACTTTTTTTTTTTTTGCAGAAGTTTTCTCCGGTTCTTTAGGGAGAGGTCACTCTTGCTTGTTGTATAGCAGGTTTAGTATAAGTGAGAATCTCAGTAAGATATGAAGCAATAACTCTCAAAATATGTTGTGTGTGGATACAGGTAAAGTTCCTTTCAACAAGGTCCATGTTTTGATGTCTCACTGACATTCATATTGTTTAATGTATAGGCTTTTCTTTGTGCTAACATGCAGGATCTGAAGGTTCCATTGAAAACAAATCAAGGCTCGGCTGCCTCATTTAGCAATTTATTATTATTTTTTGCTGTTGCAAAAAACATCATATATTGCCCCAGGTACCCTAATACTCTGGGCTCACATAGACTGGGATCCATCCTGAGGAAGGACACTAAGAGGGTCATTATCTCTCTGACTCATTATCCCTCATCAGGAGATGCTACAAAATAAACTCTTCATATACTGAGGTTAAAGCTTGTGGCTAGGTTTCCTCAAATGGGCCTAATTCCCATTTAGGAAGTCCTTTATTATTACAACTGGATACTGGGATAAAGAACAAGGAAAGAGGCAAAAAGAGTCCTGAACGATGTGTGTGTCTGAGAGATAGAGAGATTGTCTATTAGCTTGCTTTTATAGACCATGGAGGATGTTTTTACTAAACACAGGCATGGTGCTCTCCAGGAAAACTGAGGCTGGTTCCCTACCTAGAATCATGTAGTTTTACTAGAAGGAAGGAAACAAATAAAAATCCTTTGCTGAGCAATCTTTGGTCCCAAAGACATACATAAATTCCCAGAGTCATTTTTAGCTCCGTAGTGGAGGTCCTACTCCACACGGTCTGTCTGAGGCCATGTCTCCTTTCCATTTAAAGGAGGTGATGATAGAAGTGTTGGTTTTTCTGCTGACTCGTCTGGCTTCTGGAGTTTTAGTCAGCTAATCATCCTGAAGACAACGTAAGGACCTGAAACACGACCAGAAAGTTACTGGTGGGCATGTACACTTCCACAAGAAGGTGCCCCTAAGACATAACACTCTCCCACCCCCCGGCAATGTACTTGCCCTGTTGTAACATCAGTCAATTGCTGAACTCATCAAATTGATCAGGAATCCCTTCAGTCAACCCCTCTTGCACTCTACATTCACAAAAACTTGTCAAAAGAAAATATTCAGGTGATTCAATTCAACTGATTTTTTAAAAATCACTTCATAGAAAATATGTTTAACAGTTCTTGCACATACAGAATAAGAGAGAACAAAATAAAAGTTTCAAAATACTTTCAATGATGTATTTTGCTTTTACATACATTGCATTTGCAAATATGCCATTTACCATCCCCCAAAGTTATTATAAAATAGAGAAAAAAAATACTACTCAGCAAAAGTAGCCCACATATCAACCAAGTCTAACATACGCATAATGTTTTTCATCTATAGTTCCCCACCATTTCAAAGAAAGGAGGAAAGGACATGTTCTCCTCTCTTCTTTAGGCCGAGCTTGATCATTATAATTGCGTATCATTCAGTTACTTTTGGTTCTTTCCTTTTACGTTGTTGTAGTTATTGAGTGCATTGCTTTCTTGGTTCTCTTTACTTTTCTTTGTAACAGTTCATAAAAATCTTCCTATGCTTCTCTGTATTCTTTTATTTATTTATTTTTAGGCAATTGGGGTTAAGTCACTTGCCCAGGGTCACATAGCTAGTAAGTGTCAAGTGTTTGGTCTGAGGCTGGATTTGAAGTTGGGTCCTCCTGACTTCAGGGCCGGTGCTCTATCCACCGCGCCACCTAGCTGCCCCCTCTGTAGTCTTCATAGTCATCATTTTTAACACTGCATTGTGGAAGAAAATTCTGTGTTCTGTATTGTGGGCACAGGCCTGCCAGAAATTTTTTTTTAAAAATTAATTTAGGATTATCGTAACTCTAAGCACTTTTCTTCTTAGAGAAAGAAATGTCTAAATTGACCAAAGTCCCCTTGTGCGTTTGGTCATCTCTCCAATGCAAGTCATTCTGAGTTCATAATTTATAGGATTCTTGAACAAGGAATATTTCAGCCAAGATTGAGAGTGTCTAGAGTTTGGGTAACAGGTCAGTCAACAGTCTGCTTCATCTAACAGAACAATAATCACAATTTTTGACATGTCCTTAGAGAACCTCTCTTCTAAAACCATTCAATCCCTCTTTGACCAGTTCTTTTATGCTCTCCTTTCTAGTTGGTCAAAGGTAAAGAAAGAAGATATTTTATTTTATTTTTGGTGAGGCACTTGGGGTTAAATGACTTGTCCGGGATTAAATGACTTGTCCAGGGTCACACAGCTAGTGTCAAGTGTCTGAGACCAGATTTGAACTCAGGTCCTTCCAACTCCAGGGCTAGTGTTCTATCTACTGCACCACCTAGCCACCCCCCAAAGAAAATATTTTAAGCAAAAAGGCTTTTTTCTTCTTTTAGGTAGCCCATTACTCTAATCTCTTCAGGACAGGAAGAAAATGGGCACAACTCTTAAGTAAATAAATCAAGAGTCCCTTGTTCTTATCCTTGTCTAGCCACTGTCCTAATTACTTTAGGGAAGAGTCCTTCCTGGGCTGGACAGGAAGAGGGGAACAGGATAACATTTCAGATTTATTGCTAAATAAAGACTGATAAGGTTTCTCTTTCAGATTAAATCCATAGGCTTCAGACTAGGATAATTTTTTAGTGATCTCTTAATATTTATAAAAGAAGGAAGAGGAGGGGGAGAAGACTGTCTACTTACATAGCAATAAAGTTCCATTTCATTCATGTGACAATTTGTTTAACCCTTCCCCAATTCATGAACATCTACTTTATTTACAATTCTTTGCTACTAAATGTAGTGGGAATTGGACCAATGGAGCACTATTCTCAGAAAACATACAGTGTACTCCGTCTGCTGCCGGCCTATGTGGAAGAGGCCGGGGAGCTTGTTTCAAGAAAGGCATGATGATATGTAATAGAAGGGCCTTGTGCCCTGATGTGTACCATTTCCTGACATTCTATAATTGGTTCTGTTCTTTTAGCCATGTGGTGAAGAGAGATAGGCTGCTAATCAGCTGAAGAGGCAGGGCACAGTAAAAAGGTACTAACTTGCAAATGTGAGACCTCATCATCTTTCTTACTGGGTGTGTTCAAGCGAGGAGGCAAAGACTACTATAAACCTTCAGTGGCCTAATTGGTGCTACCCCTATGTGGCTCCTTAGCTCGTGGCCCTGCTGTTACTTCTTTCTCTGTCTATTCTTCCTGCTTTTAGGTGGAGTATTGGAGATGGCTTCAACCTTGTAAGTTTTGATGGTTAGAATAGTAAATACCAGAAGTCTGGTAGCTTAAGTCCGTACCTGGATTTGTGGGAAGCTGAGCACAAATGAGGCAGCAACTAGGGCCCTGAACGCATAGTGGTCACCTGTTTGATCCTACCTAGCAGCAGCTGAGTTGCAGACTCATCCAGCAAATATACTGCATTTGGAAGTGAGCTTGGTAGTTCGAGAGCTATGTAGAAGCTGTTTTAAATTTGAGCTCAGTTGCCCCAGGAACCAAGGTAGTATTTGGGAGAGGAGACCTCCTCCCACCAGGTTTGGGGGAGGAGAAATGTATTGTAACTTCTGTTCTTGCTATATCCTTACAGTAAAATCCTTTTGTAGAATTTTAAAAATGTTAATTGGTTAAATGATCCTGGGATGCTAATTACTGGAGGGTAATGATGATGTAAGGGAGTGGTTAACATTGGAGAGAACACCTCAGAATAGGGGCTCAAGCCAATAGCATTAAAGAAGAATCACTCCAATCCTTGAGGGGTACTCTTAGAACTGTAAGGAAGAGATGTAGGCTCGGGAAGAGTGAGTCCAGATGATCACCATATACAAAGATTCTGCTACACACATTTTCATATGTATGGATCTTTCTATCTTTAAGATACTTGGGGTATATCCCTAGCAGGGACATCTTTGGGTCAAAGTGCGTGGACATTTTTGTCACTTACTTAGTCTAGTTTCCAATTAATTTCCAGAATGATTCGACCAGCTCTACCAATAGGATATGAATATGCTTGTCTTTTCACAGCCCTTCCAACATTTATTATTTCCATCTTTTTGTCATCTTTGCAACTTCAATAAATGGGAGGTTAAACTTGAGTTGTTTCAGTTTGCATTTCTATGTTGCACATTGAACTATTTTTAAAAAAAATTAATAGTGGTCAGGAGCAATCAGAGTTTTAAGAGCTGGAAGGAACCTCAGTTATTGTCCAGTGTAACCCATTCATGACAGGAACATCTGTTATAAAATACCTAATGTCAACTGGACAGAACAGGCCTCTAACCTGTGGATGCCTGGAGCTGAACAAAGCAGGCTAAAAACAGGAGAGTCAGGAATCAAATAGAGGTTTAATTTCAAAGTGTGTGAAACAGCTTGCAAGCAAAGACACATGTACTGGAGCCCTGTCCCCGGTGTGTGTGTGTGTGTGTGTGTGTGTGTGTGTGTGTGTGTATGTGTGTGTGTGTGTGTGTGTGGGGACGGGGGGTGGGCCAAGGCAGTGTGGCGAGATTTCAGTACTTATCCCAATGGCTACGCAATGAGCTGTAGCCCTGACAATGAGGATAACAGCAACAATGTGACAAGTTAGATTCATAGCATGGTTTCTTGACCAGAAACAATCCTGGGATTTTGCTGTGGCTGGGATCATCCTGAGGGTGAGCACAAAGTTGTCATGTCAAGTGCAGAGGCACAGCTTGCTTGCTGGGCTTTAGCTCTGGAAAACAGGGTGTCTCTAATATCTTGACACTAACAAGTGGGCATACATCTTCTGACTGAAGTCTTCTAAGGAGGGGGAAGCTGCCACCTCTTGGGTTCCTATTCCACCTTGGGCAGCTCTAACTGTTAGAAAATTTTTCCTGACATTAAGCCTAATTCCACTCTGTGTTTCCAGTTTTTCTCCATGGGCCCATACAGAGCAAATCTAATCCCTCCTCCATAGGACAGACCTTCAAAATGCTTAAAGACATCTATATTGTTTCTTCTGAGTCTTCTTTTCTCCACAGTATGCATGTCTTATTCATCTGACTTTCATATGCCATGGATTTAAGCTCCACCATCATCCTGATTTTCCTCCTCTGGATAATTTATAGCTTACCAATTCGATGATCACTGAAGAAAGAAAGAAAGAAAGAAGAGAAAAAAGAAAGATAAATAAAAAAGAGTATTTCCATACACAAAATTGATCAGAAAAAAGAGGAAACATGTAAAACCACCTCTATTATGTCCAGTTTGTTTTTAAAAAGTAAGTAATAAGTCCAGCTTATCACTTTGAAAGCTGTTCTGCCTGTCTGAGTCTCTCTGAACTTCTGCTTCCTTCTGGGCATTTTTAAAGATGTTTCAGTGACCTTTTATTTCTTTTTTCCTTTTTTATGGCAACACTACCACTAATTCCCTATTTCAAAACACAATCCTTGTAAGATATAAGCATAATGAAGCCAAAAAAATTCACTTATTTGCCATCATCAAGTTCTATTTGATCTTTATAACTTATTTACATTTACTTTTGTTTTCTTTTGGTGTGTCATTGTTCTTTCTACTTACATTGTTATAGTGACTGTAAATTGTTTTCTTGGTTCTGCTCATTTTACTCTGTATCAATTCATGTAGATTTTTTCCATGCTTCTCTGTATTTATCACACATTATTTCTTATAACACAATAATATTCCATTACATTCATGTGCCACAGTTTGCTTAGCCATTTCCCAATTGATAGGCATCTACTTTGTTTCCAATTTTTAGCTATCACAAAAAGTGTTGCTATAGATATTATATCAATGTTATCAATGACTTTCATGGAGTATAAAAATTCAGTAATGAAGTCTCTGGCTCGAATGATATATTTTATACCTTATTTTATATGGATATTTTAATCACTCTATTCTCATAATTCCAAATTGTTTTCCAAAATGGTTGTGCTATTTCACAGCTCCACCAAGAATGTACTAAAGTGCTTATCTTTCCATAACCCCTGTAATGACTATTTCCATTTTTTGCTATTTTGGTCAATTTGCGAAGTGTGAGGTGAAACCTCAGGGTTGTTTTGATTTGCACTTCTCTTATGATTAGTAATTTGAAGCATTTTTTTTCATGTTGTGAAAATTTTGCAGTTCTTCTTATAACTGTTCATATCCATTGACCATTTATTTCTTTGAGAACAGATATTAGTTTTATATATATTTATTAATTGTTTGTATATGTTAGATACCAAACCTTTATCAGAGAAATTTGATACACAGATTCCCCCTCACCCCATTTGACTACTTTCCTTCTGTTGTTCGTGCAGAAGCTTTTCAGTGTCACATAATAATCAAACTTATTTTATCTTTTGTAATTGCAACTATCTCTTATTTGGTTAAGAATATATCTCTTACTGCATATGAGGGGTATATGTTTTGTTTCTCTTCTTATTTTTTAATAGTATGATCTTTAATATTAAGGTCCCATATCCTTAGGTCACATATCACTAAAGTCACATTAGAATATTCTATGGAATGTAATAACAGGTGTTGGTCTAAGCCTAATTTCTGCCAGACTACTTTTCAGTTTTCCCAACAGTTTTGATGAAATAAAGAATTTTTTCCCTAGGTAATTTATGTTTTCCACTTTATCAAATACTGGGTTATTGAGTTCTATTGTTTCTGAATTTCCTTTGTGTAGTCTGTTCCATCGATCAATCTCTCTATTCTTTAACCAATACCAAATGTTTTTGATGATTGCTACTTTATAATATAGTTTGAGGTCTGGAAGTTCTACTTCATTCCTTACTTCTTTTCATCATTTCCCTCATTATTCTATATCTTTTATTTTTCTAAATTAATTTTGTTATTATTTTGTCAAGCTCTATAAAGGATCATCTTTGTAATTTTATTGCCATAGCATTAAGCATGTAAATTAATCATGATATTATTGTCATTTTTATTATATTGGCATGGCTTAGCTATGGGCACTGAATATTACTCCAGCTATGTAAGTTGTTCTTTTTTTCTTTAAGAAACACTTTGCAATTGAATCTATATGAATCTTTTGTGTGCTTTGGGAGGTTGGTCCCCAGAAGATTTATGCATTTTATAGTTATATGGAATGAGATTTCCTTTTCTATCATCACTTCTTGTGTTTTGTTATTACTTTATAGAAATGCTATTGATTTTTGAAGATTTATTTTGAGGCCCGCAACTTTGCTGAAGCTATTATCTCAATCAATAACCTTGCTGTGTGATCCTGACCATGGCACTGCTTGAAATATTTTCTCCTTGACCTAGGAGCTTTGGACTTTGGCTATAATATTCCTGGAAGTTTTCATTTTGTGATCTCTTTCAGGAAGTGATCAGTAGGTTCGTTCAATTTCTATTTTATCCTATAGATCTAAAATATCAGGACAGCTTTCTTTGAATTTCTTGAAATATGTCTAAGTAAGCTCTTTCTTTGATCATAGATTTCAGGTAGTCCAAAAATTCTTAAGTTTTCTCTCCTCAATTTATTTTCTAGGCCAATTGTTTTTCTGATGAGATAATACACATTTTCTTCTATTTTTTTCATTCTTTTGACTTTGTTCTACTTTTTCTTAATGTCTCATGGAGTTATTAGCTTCCACTTGCTCAATTCTAATTTTTAGTTTTCTTCATTGAATTTTTGTGCCTCTTTTTACCATTAGGCCAATTCAGTTTTTTTTTAAAGATTGTTTTCCAGTATTTTTTGTGCTTCTTTTACCAAGCTGTTAATTTTCCCCCCCATAATTTTCTTGCATCATTCTCATTTCTTTTCCCAATCTTCCCTCTACCACTCTTGTCTCTTCTTTTAACTCTTCCAAGAATTCTTGTTGGGCTTGGGTCCAACTAGCATTTTTCTCTGAGGCTTTGGTTGTAGCTGTTTTCACACTGTTTCTTCTTCTGAGTTTGTCTTGGTCGTCTCTGCCACCATAGTAGCTTTTAATGGTCAAGTTATTTTTCTCTCTTTTGTTCATTTTTCCAGCTTATTTCTTGACTTTGAACTTTATGTTGAAGTTGGGCTCTGTCCCACCTTGGGATGGAAGGGCACGGTACCAAGCTTTAGACTTTTTTGTGCTTCTATTTTTAGAGCTATTTCTGGGGCATCTACAAGTTTTTGGTGCTTCCAAGTTGGTGTGATGTGGGAGAGATGTGGTTACTGCTCTCTTGGTCTGCCTTCTGATCTTTACCCGGTGGAAGGTCCTAATTGGGAAAAGCCATAACATATGGTAATAAGTGAACAGCCATAAAAGCTTGAACTCTGTGAAAGGTGAAAGCCTGAACATGGTAACCTGTTTGCAATCATAACTTAGATAAAGAGTTATATTTTATACATTGAGCCAAAAGTTAAAATACTGTGACATATGAAAGCCATAACAAGAATATTGTGACCCATATGTGACTGGTAAATGATCCATGCACAAACTTATGTTTGTGCAAAACATTGGCTTAACTCCGAAGCTCATTACTAAGCAGAAAACCAAAAATATCCACCAATCAGTAGTGATGCACTCTCTAGCTCCACCTGCCTTTATCTGTCTTCGATAATTACCATGGGGATTTTTGAGGTTCTTTAGTGAGGATCCATGAACCATCTGGTAGCTGCCCCAGATTGCCCCTGTTTGTAAGTATTCATAATGTTTGATTAAACTACTCCCTATAATCAATCTAGAGCTCCATGGCTTCTTCCTTTGGTATAAAAAGAAGACCCCATGCTTATGCAGGAGGTACAGAATTCCCCAGCCAGGGGAATTCCAGACTTTACAATTGGCATAGTTGGGCAGGATACCAAAGGAATGCCAAAGGAGTAGGGGATAGGAAGGGGTGGGAGGAATCCCTGGATGACTTCTATGTTAGGGGGGTGGCCTTGTTGGACCACAGCATAAGTAGGGGGATGCCCTGAACTTGCCAAAAGGACTAGAGTCCCTTCTGATGGAATTATGTTCCATCAGGTTGGGAAAAAGAGGAAAAAAGTAATAATAGTAGGTTAGCCTCTTCTTGAAGCAATGCAAAAAGCCACTACCAAGTTCCTAGACTCAGAGGCTGAGAATAGAAACTTGGTGGAAGAATTCCAGAAATGCTGGTTCACCACTTAGTCAGGTTGAAGGGAGTTAAGAATCAAGGCATGTAATTGTGAGAGAGTATCTTTCTCTTTCTCTCCCTCCATTTCTGGCCGACTGCAGCAGCTTGGATGAATGGAAGAAAGAGAGGGAGAAATAGAAGTGAAGTTCATTTGAGTAAAAGTTTTTCAAAAATTCTTTCTTTCCCTCTTCATTCCTAAACTGTGGCCAGATTCTGGGGTGTAAAAGGACAGACAAAAAAAAAAGAATGGGGGGGGAAACTTTTCTCCACAGACCTAAGAGAAGAAAGTCACTTCACTGATTATAGAGAAACTGGTTTGGGGGCTATGTCAACGAAAGTTTCAAGGTTTGCACTTTGGAATAGAACTGGTACTTAACCCTTACCCAGTTTGCAAAAAGAGAAGAAAGTCGATTTACTGATTAGAGACAGGCAGGTTTGGGGGCTGTGTCAGTGAAAGTTTCAAGGTGAAGAAAGGAAAGAGGCATGTATTTTGGAATAGAACTTGTGCTTAACCCTTTCCTGGTTCATGAAAAAGAGGAAAGTTTTTGTGTATTGGGAAACAACCAAAAGGTAACTGAGTTCAATTGGCATATCTAGCTAGAATTTAGGGAGTCTTACAAACTAAAATTGAGTACTGGTCAATTTTAAAATAATTTTTTAAATTGGAGTGTGTGTTAAAATTGGAAACTTGACTAAATTATATGAGACTCCTATTCACAAGAAAAAATCATAGACAGCTATGAGTAAATTAATAAGCTCTGGGTTCCTTCTGAGAGAGTGTGGAACACAGATTTGAACTAAACTAAAATATGCTCTTAAGTGTGATAATTGGGGTAGATTAAATCTTAATATTAGATTGCCACTTTAAAAATCTTTGGCAGTGGATTGGCTGGAAATAGTGGACCTCATAATATAAAATGCTTGGAATAAATAATATTTGTGTTAAGTTAATATTACAGTCAGTATTAAAATCATAACCCCAGATTCTGTGTAATACCATTTAGAATGTAGATCCAGGTAACTGAACTCATTCTGATCACATT